TTAAAGGAAAAGCCCTCCCTGTGGTATCTGATCGAATTCCTATCCCTTACCCTATCACCCTTGCCTGTCCTTGGCAATAATCCTGTCAAGTTGGTTTAGCCAAAACCGACCTTATCCTTGAAGTTTCCTCTTAGAAATTTCCTATCCACTGACACCCATCCTGTTCCTTGGCAGTAAATCCCCACTTTGCTCTTGATGGAGTCAGAGTTTAGCTCAATCTCTTTCCTGTAGTACAAAACCGCATTGTAGTTGTCCCCCCTTGAATAAAGTTTTCCTTACTGTCTTTAAGTGTCAAGAATAATTTTTCTTTAACATTTCCAAATTTTGTTACTAGTAATTATTCTCAAATGAATATTTTCATACCTTTACCTGTTACACTAGATTCATTTTGAGAGATCTATTTTCAGATTAAAACATTTCATATATTTACTATAGAAACAAAAAAATATCATTTTTTAGTAACTCATTTGTAATTTGAAAAGGGTATATTTATATAAATGGACTTGTCAGTGTATAATAAACACACCCCCTCAAAGCTCTCAGGAAAATTTTAATTCTCAGTAAAACTACACATTCAGACTAAAACAGTCAGCCTGCAAATTTTTAAATCTTATAATTAAGTTACCAAAAAAGTATGGAGAATTAAAACTTTAATAAAAATAAAAATATGCATCAAAGTATTTGGGATTCAGACAAAGCTATAAACAAAGTCCTTAAATCCTTTAATACAGAAAAATTAACTTTTAAAATAAAAAGCCATAATAAAGAACAATCCTTTAAAAGCAGGTGGATAGCCCTAACCGGTTTGGCTCAGTGGATAGAGCGTCGGCCTGTGGACTGAAAGGTCCCAGGTTCGATTCCGGTCAAGGGCATGTACCGTGGTTGCGGGCACATCCCCAGTGGGGGGTGTGCAGGAGGCAGCTGATCGATGTTTCTCTCTCATTGATGTTTCTAACTCTCTATCCCTCTCCCTTCCTCTCTGTAAAAAAAATCAATAAAATATATTTTTTAAAAAGGTAGGTGTATAAAAGCCCTGGCCAGGTAGCTCAGTTGGTTAGAGCATCATCCCAATATGCCAAGGGTGTAAGTTCAATGCCTGGTCAGGCATATGTAAGACTCAACCAATGGGTAAGTGGAACAACAAGTAGATGTGTTGGGGGGTTCTCTCTCTCTCTCTCTCTCTCTCTCTTCCTTCTTCTCTCGCTCTCAAATCAATTAATACATTTTTTAAAAGGCGGAAAAAGTAGGTATATAATGAATCAAGACAAAAATAGAGAATAAAAACAAAACTACTTGGGATAATAAATCAAGAATTGCTTCTTGGGACAAGTAAATCAGAAGCATTGACAAAACTGTGGCAAACCAATGAGGGGAAAAGAAAATGCATTTCAATATTAGAAATAAGAAGGAAATTATATTCTGAGTACAGAGGATAATATTCACCTTCAAGTAGAACTATTTTTTGCTTCAAGAAAGTTTCTAATAGAAAAGTTGTAAATCCAGCCAAGCAAAACGTTGGATCAGTAATGAAAAGGTGAATGATTATCTCAATAGATGGCATAAACTACCCAATAAAACTAAATAACAATTCTCTTTAAATATTCTAAAGATAGAAATTCATTAAGCAGTATACTCATTACCTTTCATGGTAAAGCATTTCTCATTGAAACCAAGAACAAGAAAGTCCATTTTCACATCTTTTTGAAGTTCTGGTCAATGCAGTAAGATTAGAAATAAACATGATTGCCCTAGCCGGTTTAGCTCAGTGGACAGAGTGTCAACCTTCGAACTGAAGGGTTCCGGGTTCCATTCCAGTCAAGGGCACATGCCCAGGTTGTGGGTTCGATCCCCAGTTGGGGGCGTGCAGGAGGCAGCCAGTCAATGATTGATTCTCTCTCATCATTGATGTTTCTATCTCTCTCTCACACTCCCTTCCTCTTTGAAATCAATAAAAAATATATTAACAAAAATAAACACAATTGGAGGAAAGGCAAAGAGTTTACATAGTAGTGCTAAAAAAATTAAACTATAAACATGCCATGTTACGAATGAAAAGACAAATAACAAAAATGTTTTTTTTCAAAATAACATTTTATTATTATAATTGCTATTTTATTTAGAATTTTTGGCAACAATAATAAAATAAAATTTATCTGAAAGAACAAGCAAGCCAAATAGACATGGACATTCATGAGGGGTAATAACAAAATAGTAATCTTGACAGCTATTCAATATATTTGTAAACAAAACAAAGTGGCATTGCTTTAAAAAATATAGAGATATCAATAGAAAAACAGAGAAAGCTCCTGAAGGAACTCAACTCACTATATTAATTTTCTTTTGGTTGCAGGCACAGAAATGGACTTGAGCGAGCTCCATTCTAAGAGAGGAGCAAAGTCCTTAATAATTATCCCTTCCTAGTTTTTTTGTGAAAACCTAGGAAATTTAACTAGATGAGAGAGGAAAGAAAGTAGAAAGGAGACATAAAGTGTCTCTTTGGAGAAGAAAAGGGGTGGGGCCGAATTTCATTGTCAGTGTCATTTTAAGAACTTTAATGAAACTCAATGAATCAAAGGAAATGTCCAACAAATAAATGAGGTAGAGAGCCATGCAGGTCTAGGGGAAGAGAATTCTAAGACAAAGAACAGCAGTTGCAAAGTCTTTGGATTAGGAAGAAATGTGATTTGCTTGAGGAAAAGCAAGGCCAGTGCATCAAAAATAGTGCACCAGTGGGGAAAACGGTAGAGAAGCATGGTACAGAATGAAAAACAGAGAGGAGGTAGGTAGGGGCTATATCACTGAAACCTTGGCAATAAGTAACAATTTGTACTCCTTAGGGGCATATTTTAGTGAAATAGCAAACAACAGTAACAGTTGATAAAACCAAGTAGCCACAAACACATAGAATAAAAACATTTTCATATTTTTACCATCGAAACAGAATAAGGGAGATAAGTATGCAAAGTCTAAAGATCTAGTTATACCCAGAAATTTCCACCTGATACCAACACACACACACATACACACACACACACAAACACACACACTTTTCTACCCCTAAAGAAAGGAGTTCAGGCTAAAATTTTAGCAAAGTGCCTTGGCCCAAGCAAACAAACTGAAAAGGCCTAGTAAAATGTTCAAAGTGCAAATCCATCAATCAATTAGTCAAGCATTGAGCAAATACAACAAGAATCCACACCAAGGATATTATCTAAAACATGGACAACACACTCACAGCTACTTTACTGTCTAGTGCCTCCTCCCCAACTCTTAAGAGGGATGCTAAACCCTTGATGATGATCACTTCTCAGGTTTTTGTGAAAGTTTACGGAATTTAAATAGATTGAGGAGGGAAGAAAGGAGTGGGGAGATATAAGGTGCCTTGAAGAGAAAGCAAAGGGAAAAAAGATTTTCCTGGCTTAGATCTCTAGCCAGGATCCCAGATTCCTTGAGTGGAGCACAGAGGCTGCTGGGTACCTGGGCGGGGGGTAGAAGAAGGGATGGCACTAGAATATACTGAGGGAGACTCAACCCTGGGAACCCACAGAAGCAGCCAAGGCCGCCAATGTTCAAAAATCAAACTCAGAAAGTATTACAGTGAAGTATTCCAGTTCTGTGAAAGGACCCTTGGAAATGGCAGGGGAAGGTCTCCTCATAGTATATTCACCTAATAGATAGGTGGACAGATTAGATGAAGGGCAATAACTCTAGGACCTAATACTTATTAAAATAAAAGGAACATTACTTGCACATTGGAATGTGTCAAGACCCAAAAGGTATTAATTTTATGAAATGGGAAATTACACACACAAGACAATAATAACTCTTAACTGTAATACATTCATGCCCAACAAGGCAAAGTACAAAACTGCAAACTTCACATGTTCAATTAGGGAAAGATACACAAACATAGAAAAATATACGGAAAAGCCCTATAACAAGCTTAATTTTAGTAAGTCACCTGGGCTATTTGTACCCACTGTACCTACTGTTCTTGGACAATGCCCATTCCAGCTTAACCGTTAGAGAACTAAATTGAGCTCAGTCCATGAACTGGACAGATACAATTTGGCCTTTTTTAGTTAAAATTATGGGTCCAGTACAGTTCAAACTATGGATGTCAGTGCTTTGTCATGGGAAACTTTACTTCTTTACTGCTGTAGCTGTACGGGACATAGCTCATTCTGACTAAAGGCCAGCCAGAAAGGAGGGGAGGGAACAAATTGAATTTCCTTGTGGGTCACTCAACAAGAGGCCCATTGGCACCAGGCCCCATTCTATTAGCTCCCTCTGCTTAAGCCAATGATACACCGGTTGTCTGACGTCTGCAAGGGCCCCTCACCAAACATAGGCATTTTATTGTAATGACTTTGCCTCTTTGGATGTACTTGGGTGGGATAACGACACTGACACAGTATTCTTTCTGTCTTGGCTCCAAGACAAGTGAGTGTGTGCCGCTCTCTCCACTGGGAAAAAGAGCCTCTGCTCTCCAATGACTAACCTCCCACTTCCTGGTCCCATTCACGCCATAGCTTCTCCCTCAACTTCTCCACACCCAGATGTTCAGAGGCAGGTTACTTTAGGCCAGCACAACAGAGGCACTTCTGGGACTTCAGCAGTAAACAGGACCATGCCATACCAAAGCCATTCCAGTCTGACTAGAGTTAATATTATAATCTTCAAGGCATGTAACTCTACAGATTCTATATACAGAAAAAAGAGATTTCACACTCAAAAGTAACATGAAATAGAAAAATAATAAATAGGTTTCTGGCTTTTCTTTCACATACATATACATACACAAGCACCTTTTGTGTTAAGCCAGATACAGTCACATAAAAAGCAATTAATACATTTTTTAAATAACATCTCAAAACTCGTATCAAATAATACTGAATTCCATGAATTTTATAAAAAAAAAACTCATAAATGACCCATTGGCTTCACTATTTTTAAGCTACTAATGTTTTGTATTTTTTTTATTTATGAGGTTTCTCACTTTCATTAAAGTACTTGCTTTAGATTTCCTGAAAATGGGATTAACGGTTGTTGTTGTTATTGATGTTGTTTTAATTCTACTTTTAGGTCTAGGGTGATGGTTCAGAATCAGATGTGCTCACAATAATGGATGCTACTTCCACTGACCCTGGTTGAAGAGGCTCCAGTGATACCTGAATAACAACTTTAGTTTCAGGAGGCAATCCTTCCAGTTGCTCAGGCTTCTTAAACATTTGATGACACCGGGTCTTGTGCTCCATTTTCTCCTTGAAAGTTAAAAACTGTAGCCGGCATTTGGAACACTGATGAATAAACTTTTCCCAGTGTCCTCTATAATGATACATGTAGGGTGCTGCCAGTTTGAAAATTTTGAGACAAAATGGACAAAGCAGATTCTTAGTGTTTGCATGCCAGGTTCTGAAATGTGTTTCCACATCAGCAAAGGCCGACGATCTATAATTGCAAACCTGGCACACGTAGGGCATTTCGCCAGGCTTATGATTGTCCTTCATGTGCTGTAAGAGAACCTGATCTGTTTCAAATGACAATTCACAAATTCTACAGACAGCGGAGGGCTCCTGGGCTGTGTGCACACTTTCGATGTGACGCTGCAGCTGGAAGGGAGTGGGAAACTGCCGGTGGCAATGCTGGCAGGTGGTGTGGTTTTTCCAATTGTCATCTCCCTGCTTCTCAAGTTCCAAATGGTGCTTCACGTGATTCATAAACTTGACATTTTTTAGAACTTTCCTGCAGCTGAAGCATTTAAAGGTTGTGTGAGTCTTCTGTTCTGGCTGCCTATCTCCTGGATGCTGTCCGTAGTAAAAGTCATGAAGTAACACAATCAGATTTCCTTTCTTGAGATCGTCAGTCTTGTTTTGACTTGCTAGGCTCAAAAGATCTGTTTTTGTCAGTCTATTTTCTCCAACAGGATTTATAGTCTTGAAATGGACTTTGTCCTTTGGAAAAGCTGTTGGAAAAAGTGCTCCGTTCTGAATAGGGCTTAATGAGGTATGAACACCATTTGAGGGTGTGCTTTGCTGAGGAATCATTGTATGAAAGATTCCTGAAGAGGACACAACTGAAGACTGTCCCCCTGTGATTTTGTCACTGAGTTTAGGCCTTTTTGGACTTATGCTGTTTACTTCAGAAGTGCGAAGTCGCTTTGATGCACGAGGACTTTTACTCAGACCTCTTACAGAAAGTGCTGATCCCACTGGATGCTGCAATGAACTTGTGAATGTAATCAAAGGAGAACATAACTCTGAAGAGCTATTAGGCACAACTTGTGGTGAATTACTTCTATAAGCAGGTTCAGACAAAGGCTCAATAATAATAGGACTATCTGTTAATCTTGATTCAGGCTCAGGAACTGGCAAGACAGTCACTGCTTCGGATGTAGGGGTCACATGACTTACAGGCTGCAATTTGTGAGCAGTATCTTTTCTGAGCTTACCATACTTTTTTCTCCTTGAACATGAACCCGGGGTGACTCTGTTCAAGATGTGGGAAACGACTGGTTTTGAATGTGAAGTCACCCCAACGAAGATCAGCTCAGCATCTTCATTTACATGTTCCACCCCAACAAAGATCAGCTCAGCATCTTCATCTACTTGTTTGTTTTCTTCTATGCTCTTCTGTGGTCCTGGCTCTTGTTTTTCCTCACATACCATATATGGTGGTCCCATTTTCTAACTTTTTTTATTCTTGAAGGGTGTGGCCACAAGTCCTAGTTTTTCCTTAATGTGAACTGCCACCTAAGTACAAACAACACGACACATCAGTAAGTACAGAAAAAAATGTATCTCATTTTTCTCCAAAACTCAAGCTAGTTATAAACATCCATTATTTTACAGATAAGGACACTGAGACTCAAAGAGAATAAATGACAGCTTAAAACTATGATTACAAGTCTGTGAGACTCTAGAATCATAATCATAGATTTGTCCTATGCTGATTATGATCTCTTCTGTTGCCTCTACCGGCAAATGCCAATGGCAATCCCCTAGCGGTGGCAATCAAAAATGTTCTATGGGAGAACTTCTTCCTTAATCTAACCTCTTCGCAGGATCACTTCCACATTCCTAGTAACTACCTTCTAGGTAATTCTACATTTATGCTCTAACATCCTCTCTATAAAAAAAAATCTAAATCAAAAGGATTAATTTCTTCATAATACCATAAAACTCAGAAGATAATTTGACAAGTAATATGACCATCAGAATTATCTCAGGATGGACTTCTAAAGGCTAGAAAAGTTTATGATTCAGCTAAAGTTATATGTAGGGTTTGGAAACAGAGCTAGCACTAAAATGTGTGATTCCTGAATTCTGGTTCTGTGTTCTTCCCAACAGAACTCTGATTTAGTGCATGTCTATTTCTGATGATGGTGCTATTTATTGCTTAGTCTCTAAGGATCAAAGAGCCTCACTGGACTCATTTTTACTCTCCTTCTACTTTATAAAACCTGTTCTAACCTCCCCTAGCTCCCATCAATTTAATCACAGGAATGTATTAGTGATTCTAAGTAATTTTTTAGAGCACTGGTCAGGTCATCTAACTACATTTCATTTCCATTCTTATTAAAGCACCTACTCCCAACTTCTAGGTTTAGGCCCACTGGTTACTTCATGTCTGTACATCTGTAATAAGCTTCAAATTGTTCTGTCTTATCTCTCTAGCCTTCAAATTATATAGCACATTGCCACTATCTGAATCTTAAAATACCACTATAATTATATTATTCCTTTATTCCTAAATGGTTGGGTATTTTTTTTAATCCACGCCTGACAATTTTTAAATGTGACATATACATACAATGGAATATTATTCAGTCATAAAAAGGAAATTCTGTCACATGCTACAATATGCATGAACATTGAAGACATGTGGTAAATGAAATAGGCCAGCCACAAAAAAGACAAATACTGTATGATTCTACTTATATGAAGTATGTAAAGTAATCGAAGCAACAGAAAAGATACAAATCTTAGAATAGTAGGATGAATACCAGGATCTAGGGCAGTGATGGTGAACCTATGACACGCGTGTCAGAGGTGACACGTCAACTCATTTTTTGGGTTTATTTTTCTTTGTTAAATGGCAATTAAATATATAAAATAAATATCAAAAATATAAGTCTTTGTTTTCCTATGGTTGCAAATATCAAAAAATTTCTATATGTGACACGGCACCAGAGTTAAGTTAAGGTTTTTCAAAATGCTGACACGCCGAGCTCTAAAGGTTCGCCATCACTGATCTAGGGAGAGAGTGAAAAGGGGAGTTTGTTGTTTAATGAGTAGAGTTTCAATTTTTCAACATGAAATAGTTCCAGAGAGCTGTTTCAAAAGACTGTGAATATACTTAACATTTAAAAATGGTTAAGGTGGTAAAATTTATGTTATAGGGTTTTTAGCACATTAAAAAATAATTAAACAATGGGCAAAGATGTCAATAGACATTTCTCCAAAGAAGATATATATACATAGCCAATACCCACAAAAAATACTGCTCAACATGTTTAGTCATTAGGAAAATGTAAATCACAATTAGATCTGCTTCACACCCACTATTGGCTACAATAAAAAAGAGGAACAATAATAAGTGTTGCAGAAGATGCAGGGAATTTGGAATCCTCATATATTGCTGGTGCAATTACTGGAAAATGGCGCAGCCACTTTGGAAAACAGTTGGCAGTATTTCAACAATTAAATATAGTTACCTTTTTTTTTTTAATTCAGAGAGAGGAAGGGAGAGAGAGAGAAAAAAAACTTCAATGACGAGAGGGACTCATGGATTGGCTGCCTCATGCGTACCCCCTACCAGGGATGGAGCCCACAACCCAGGCAAGTGCCCTGACCAGAAATAGAACTGTGACCTCCTGGTGCATGGGTCAATGCTCAACCACTTAGCCACACCAGCCAGGCAAAATACAGAGTTACCATACGATCCAGCAATTTTACTCCTAGGTCTATACTGCAAAGAATTGAAAACACAAATCCACACAAAAACTTGCACAACAATGTTCAAACATCATTATTCATAATAGCCACAGAGTGCTAACTATTCAAATGTTCACTAATTGATGGGTGCATATACAAACTATGGTAATACAATGGAATATTATTCAGCCATTAAAACTAATAAAGCAGCCTGAACCGGTTTGGCTCAGCGGATAGAGCGTCGGCCTGCGGACTGAAGGGTCCCAGGTTTGATTCCGGTCAAGGGCATGTACCTTGGTTGCGGGCACATCCCCGGGGGGGGGGGGGGGCGTGTGCAGGATGCAGCTGATCAATGTTTCTCTCTCATCGATGTTTCTAACCCTCTATCCCTCTCACCTTCCTCTCTGTAAAAAAAAATCAATAAAATATATTATAAAAAAAAACTAATAAAGCACCACAGAACATATATGATATGAATGAACCCTGTAAACATGCTAAGTGAATAAAACTAGACACAAAAGTCCACATAGTTTATGATTCCACTTACAATACATAAAACATCTAGAAAAGGCAAATCCATACAGACAGAAATAAACTAGTGGTTGTCATGGGATGGGGGAGGGGGGGAGAAATAAGGAAGGAAAGTAAGTTGAACTAGAAGAAAAATAAAATATCAGGTCCCAATCCCTGAAACATGTATATGTTACGTGATTTGGAAAAAGGACCTTTGCAGATGTGATTAAGTTATGGGTTCTGAGATGGAGAAAATATCCTGGATTACACAAATGGGCCCGCAAAGCCATATATGTATGTCCTTCAATTTTAAACCCTAAAGAGTGAATTTTACCATATGTGAATTATAACTCAATTAAAGAAAAAAATGCCTATTACCTCTCCCCCCGACATCCCAGCAACTGGTACTGAGACAGGCTAGGAAGCCAGGACAAGTGGACAGGGAAACTGAAACAAACTGGCCCAGCAATTTACAGCCAGATACAGAAGGTCACCTCCTTAGAGTTAACATCTAGGCCTCAGTTGTATTTCAGCTCCAGGCCCAGAAAAGCAGCAAAACCAGGTGGGGGATGCCAGGACCAACTACAATGACTAAGGACCCCCTGCCCTGAACTAACTAATCAGTAGAGACCATGACCCTGAAAGAACACACTTGGAAAACTGATGAATATTCTGCTGAAAACCTTCCCTGACACCTCCCTAAGATTCCTGCTTGCAAGAGAGATAAAAGCCTCAAGGCAAAGGACTTAGGGTTGGCTCCCCCTCCCCAGAGTACTCCCTTGTCTTTCTCTTCCCCTACCGGCATGCATCCCTAAACTGTAAGGGATCCCACAAGGCTTGCAACCAGGGAGCAATGGGCAGTGGCAGCTTGTCCTGAGCTAACCCCCTGACCCTGTCCCCAAGGCTCTGTTTTCTCTGACTACTTAGTGAGCCAAAGCAGCCCAGCCTAGGCTCATGTCCCCACCTAGTCCCTCTCCTTCTATCCTAGGCCTCCTTGTTTCACTGTCCCCAGCTTTAATAACCGTCCTCTAAAAATCACCTGGACTTGTATTGTGAAATCTCCCTCTCCTTCTATCCTAGGCCCTTCCTTGTTTCACTGTCCCCAGCTTTAATAACTGTCCTCTAAAAATCACCTGGACTTGTACTGTGAAATCTTTTCTGCATAAAGTCAAGAACCCACACACTACCAGTCGGCCCTAGGCAGACCTACTCAGGGCCATGTCCCCTTTCCAGTAACGATACCAAATTCAAAGTCCCTTTATTTGGAAAATCAGAGGTAGAAGAAGAAATTCATAAAAGAAATGGGCTTAGGAAACAAGTTATAGAGATAAAGGAAGGGCCCTTGGAGCTTGGGAGCTAGGAAAGTAATGGTAATGTACCTTGTGGGTGGGACGAGGGCAGAAGGGGAAGGGAAAGGCGTGGGCATGCTCTGGGAAGGGAGAGTGTGCTGGGTCTTCCATCCCAGGAGAAAAGGTTGGAAAAGTGTACAAATAGGAGTGGTAGCCAGCCTCCAAGATGGGCTCACATGAATCCCACCTCCTGGCATTCACTCTTTTGCGTAGCCCTCTCCCACACTATCACAGGGTTTGCCTGTGGGACTAAGCCAGGGGTGGGCAAACTTTTTGACTCGAGGGCCACAATGGGTTCTTAAACTGGACCAGAGGGCCGGAACAAAAGCATGGATGGAGTGTTTGTGTGAACTAATATAAATTCAAAGTAAACATCATTACATAAAAGGGTACGGTCTTTTTTTTTTTTTAGTTTTATTCATTTCAAACGGGCCAAATCCGGCCCGCGGGCCGTAGTTTGCCCACGGCTGGACTAAGCAAATATGGCACACCGAACTTTTGAAAAAGAGTCTGCACTTCTCTTGGGTGAAAGCTCGCTCTTGAATCACTCACTCTGGGGGAAGCCAGCTGTCATGACATGAGCAGCCTCATGGAGAGGCCCACAGAGTGAGGAACTGAAGCTCCTTGCCTACAGCCCAGTGAGTGAGCTAGACGAAAATCATCTGACAAAAGTCAAGTCCGCGGACAGAGACAAAAACTTGACTACAACCTCATGAGAGACCCTGAGCTAGAACCACCCTGCTAAGGCACTCTGGATTCCAGACCTTCAGAAACTATGATAATGAAGATTTATTTTATGCTAGCAAGTGCTGAGATATACAGTGTTACACAGCAACAGATAACTCATTAAAAAATGGATCATAACTTACCTGTAAACGTGACTACTGGCATAAAATAAATTTAGACGGCCTCCCCTATCCAGCCACATTCAAATACAGAAATAAAGCCCTTATGGAAAAGGGTATAGAATTAAACAAACTAACCCCATGTACTCATTTTAACCAATATATATTCACCTTAAATGAACCACTTATTACTTTAATATATTAGCTGAAATCTTACAGTATGTGTTATCAGTCCATTTTAGACGTATACCACGCTAAAAGAAAATAGATTTACATAGCTTAAGATCTATGTACTCCTACTTTTCTTTTTCCTTTCAAGGGATTCCCCCACGCTCCCCTTGTTTAAGGAAGCAGTTTAGAAGGTTCCAAAATTTCCTAAATCAATGATCGACCTGAATTTATCACACATATGCAGATTCAGATCACATACACTCAGGAAACACTGTCTAAATAATGTTTTAGCACAAAAGGGAATAAGAGAAAAACTGAAGGAAAAAAATACCATCTTAGTCCTCGTGATGAAAATGTCCCTCCTCTTACCTTGGATGTGCACGGAAACTTCTAAGAACTTGCAATATTTCAGGCAGGAGAAGGTCACATCCTTGAGGCAACCAGAGAAAGGGATTAAGGTTATTTACATGTTACAGACATATTTTCTACCCGCTGTCCACCTGATACTCTCATTTAGCTGTTCCTCAAGCATCTCCCCTTTAACCAGAAAAGAGACTTCCTTTCTTCAAACCCATTCCTCCAAATAAATTAATTAAATTTTGAATTGTGTGTAGGCTTCCTATCATTATAGTGTTTCTTTTTCCACACTAGTTATTTTAACCTACATTTTAAATGTTTGTAAAAGGTTAACTGTCCTACATCCAACTTCTATAAAGTAATTCCATCCACTTATGAAGGAGGAGGACATAGAAGAGGTAGAACCTGGGCACTCGCTCACATGCCTGAGTCGATAAAGATGGAAATAACGCCCCATGTGGAGTCGGTTATCTTGAAACAGGATAAAAATCACCACGGAGGTGAAATGACTCTGTTAACTGGGTGATCACAGGCGACACCCATCATACTTTTCGGGGCAGACCGTTTTCACTGGGGGCGCACAGGTAAAATGAGAGGGTGTGGTAACTGCATTGAGATTCCTGAGGAAAGAATCTGCAGAGAAATCTACGCAAAATATAGATCTGGGGGAAGAAGTTTTTATCTGGGGGGAGAAATGCTGAAATACCCCTAAAGCCACTGACCCACCACCTGGAGGTCCTGCACAAAAGCGAACCAGTGGGAACGCTGGTGGGTGGGGTGGGGAAAGCCGAGTTTTTTGGAGGGAATAACTTTAAAGAGACGTAAATGGCTACGTGGGCTCGGTGCGGTTCAGAATGAACTTGATTTTCACATTGCTGTCACCTCTGAAATAAACTGAGGTGATGTTCTGGTAAAAAACAATAATAATAATAAAATAAAATAAAAATAAAGGGGGAAAAAAAAACACAGAAAAAATCCTGGGAACTGCCCGAAACAAAAGCCTCAACACCCACCCCCGGCCCGGCGCTCAGGGGCGCCTCACTAGGGCCCGGGCGGCTTTAGAGACTCGGCAGCGAGGAGGGGGCACCCCGCTGGGGGGAGGGGCAGAGACCCTCAGAAATGGGTGAGGTGCGTCAAGGCCCAGCGGCTCGGCGCCCACAGCTGTTCCTCAGGGGGCGACGCGGGGTGCAAAACCGGTGTCGGGTTTTCGCCCCGAGAGAGAGAGAGCCC